TTGTTGAGTTTTTCTCTGTATCTATGAAGCGCCTTGAGGCGACTTTTGTTGTGATTTGGCGCTATATAAATAAAATTGAATTGAATTGAATTGAATTTTTGAGCTCCCAGACGTCATTAATAAGAAACATTTCAAAAGATATTATTGTATATAAGGTGCTTAATCCTCAGTCTTACCAAAATCAGGGTAAGTACTGTATATCTGACTGACCTGGAGTCGAAGAAGGTAGTCCACAGTGCAGATGATGACATTTATAGTAGTTGTGCTGCCTGTCTGAGTTCTTAAGTAGTTCTGAAAATCTGAGGATAAAAGGAAAAGAAAATTAACTGAATTGTCAAAATTAAAGAAGTCTACTTTTAAAAATTCAGGCAGACGATGATGCACCAGGTGCATCAAGTGCTGACTTTCAGCTTTAATTCAAGAAGTTTTATAAAAATTTAGCATTAACTGTTTAGGAATTACACAGTTCTATATACAGTGTCCCGTGGGGAGACCCAAACAGACGTGAAGATCATCTGTTGAGAGCAAAATAAAGGCCGCCAGAATGATGTGGACCCGGCTGAAGAGAACAGCCCAAAACAGAGTCCGTTGGCGTTGTGTTGCTGTGGCCATATGCTCCACCAGGAGTCTACAGGCTTGATTGTCACGGGTTGCCGGGGCAAGCCATGTGTGAATTATTAACGGACCCAAGATGCAGACTGCTTAAGTTGTGAGCAAGCTTTATTAACAAAAGGGTGAAACAAACAGGGACGAGGTGGACGAAAACCAAAACTTAAGAGTAACCTAAACTGGGAAAAGCTAAGCAAAAACAAACCTGAAACCTTGAGACATGAACCAGAGATGTGGGGAGAACAATGCGGGGAGAATGCACAGTAAAATGGAGGGGAACAACACAAACGAACCAGCAACTACTAAGACAGAAGACACGACTTAAATACACTCAGAGAAACACAGGGAGATCACACACAGGTGGGAACACAGCTGGGAGTTATTAACGTGACGAGACCAGGGAGGCAAACTGAAAACACTCACATAAGACGCAGACCTTCACAATAAAACAGGAAACACATACACGTTATGACACAACACACAAACTTAACACAGACTGGGGGACACACAACATAGGAACATGAAACGTGAAAAAAGGAGAGTACAGAAACCCAGAATAAACTAAACCACAGAATAATAATAAACTAAAACATAAACACGGAGTCACAGACTCCGGACCATGACATTGATGATGACGATATACAGTGTCCCATTTTCAGAGCCTCGATCAAAATTAAGGAAAATTAAGTAAAAACAATGTCTCAAATTGATTTAAAGCTTTGAAGCTTTTCACTGTAATTTATATAAGAGGCCCAGTGAGATGTTAGTGCAAGTGATGGAGGCTATCATAAAGTTTAAAAACCAAAATAAACCCATCAGAGAGATGACAAAAAACTTTAGGAGTGTCCAAATCACTCTTAAAAAGAATGAATGCAAAAGTGCACAATGAAACAATTATATCAGTGGTTAATAAAAACTGCTTCACAACTTCTAACCAATCTTTGACACATATATATGGAGAGAGAGAGACAGGGGGAAACTCAAACTGGTCAGAAGGGCCAGCTCTGTCCTGGAGCTGAAGTCCATCGAGCAGGTTGGGGAGGAGAGGACGTTGTCTAAGCTGACATCCATCATGGACAACACCTCCCACCCCCTGCGTGAGACTGTACAAGCACTGAGCAGCTCGTTCAGTAGTAGACTTTTACACCCACAGTGTAGGAAGGAGCGCTACCGCAGGTGATTCTTACCAGCAGCTGTCAGACTCTATAATGCAGCTTAACATCCTGTTGGTCATCTTACTCACCAGCTTGTTTGTTTACTGTACATTTTATACATAACTCTGTAGATTTGATACATATCCCTGTCCATTTTATAGATTTCTCCGTTCAATGTTCACCTTGTGTCTTCCTTTTATATTTTATTTTTCCTTGCTGTAAGAGCTCTGTAACACCGAAATGTCTCCTCCATGGGATAATAAAGGTTTATTCTATTCCATTCTATTCTATATTCCCCGCTCATATTCAGCCGAAAGCAATCAGACCGTGCTTCACAATGCACACGGATAATGACTCCAAGTATGCTGAAAATTTCATTTATGAAATGCAAAACTTCATGCAGAAAGTCTAAAAACAAGGTGGCATCACTCTGCCTCATGGAAGATCACTAAATACAGCCGTGGTGTTTGGTGAATAGACTTGTTTTATTTAGTACAGCCATGACTTACCATTATTGTGGCCCTCACAAAGAAGTTGAAGGAAGCGGAAGAGGTCGCATGTAAATTCATCGTCTGCCATCACTTTCTCATCTAGGATGAATAACAAATAGGCATGCTAATTAATCTGTGCGAAAGCAGGTTTCCGCAGTCCCAGGACAGAGTACACATGAACTGCTTTTATTCTGTTAGAATATAGTGGTAAACACAAGATTATGTATATTAGGAGTAAAGGTTGACGCTATAGAGGAAGTAAAAGAAAAAGCTAGGGTACCTTTAACTCACGTTTCTTTAACATTTTAATGTTCTTTTGCAAAACTTGAATTGTATCCTTTTTGACTTGATCTATTTGATTTCACCTTACAGAAGCTGTAGATAAAGATTCAGACCAGTTTTCTTTCTATATAGTTATATATATATATATATATATATATAGTGGTTAAATTTCACTGTGTGTTATAGAAGAACCTTCAAAGAACCTTGAACCTTGAACCTATATATATATACATATATAAATATATATAAATATATATATATATATACATATAATAAATTATAAACAAAGAAAAGGGAAAAATGCACCAAGAGATCAAAATATCCAATCATTTTGTCTTCGTACAAGAAAATATAAAAACAAATAATTATTTAATTGGAAATTGTAATTTTTAATTAGTTAATTGGAAACACTAAATTGCCCATAGGCGTGAATGCAGGAGTGAACGTGAGTGCGATTGGTTGTCTCTGTCTTAGCCCTGTGACAGACTGGCGACCTGTCCAGGGTTCTACCCTGCCTCTCACCCTAGGACAGCTGGGACAGGCTCCAGCTCCCCCTGCAACCCTGAAAAGGATAAGCGGAAGCGAATAGATGGATGGATGGAAATGATTTTTTCAAATGACCAGTTATAGAAAGATTATAGAATTTAGTATTCAGGTCAGTTTACCTTCATTAAGTGCACTCATCAAATAGTTAAATATTATAAACCAACTTTATATTGTTTATCTACACATTTAACACTGCTGGATTTAGATTTTATTAGCATTAAAAGTTAATCAGTAAGCACAAATGTTATTTATATGAATAGGTCATGAGTGGACATTATTTAAAATGACATTATTTAATGTTTGTGAAATTGAGATTCATGTTTGAACTTGAAGAGCCTGTGACTGTGATGGAAGGTGAACAAATGTGTATTGCAAACCAGCTCAACATTTTTTAACACAAAAAAATCTGCACAACTCAGATGAACAAGAAGTGTCAGCCACGTCACGCTGTAGTGGACAATGAAAGTACACATAAAAATAACAAAATAACAGAAAAATACAGCTGAAAAAACAGGACATGGATACTGATGGTAAACACATAAACACAGATATAACTTCCACAGCACACCATCATGCAGTACAGATCTACTGAACTCTGTAAACTCCTGTTAGCTATCAGCTTGGATGTTGGGGGAAAATCAGGGGGGAATGCAGGAAAATGCACTTTAATAACCACTTTTGTCAATATTTTTGAAGGAACTGAGAAGACTTTCATAATTTCTTTGCAATAGAATCTAACCTAAACATTGCACTTTGCTACATATACTGCAAAAATATCAATTTCACAGTTCTCTAATAGCATGCTATCAGGTAAAAACTGCTTATTTCCAAAAGATGCACAAGCATGCTTCGATTTAATCATGAATGAACAACAACAAATCATAACAAAGCCATGTGGGGGATGCCAAGTTTTTCTTAAAACAACAGTCATGGACACATGCCTCGGGAGAAATATGTTATCATTGTGACTCATGTTAAATATTCCCATAGGTATACCAAGCAAAGAGCTGGAACTTTAAAAAGACTTCATTACTTGTTTCTTACCAGATTGAACTATCACATCATATCATATGCTGTGCACAAGCAGAGAAGAAATGATGTACAAAAATATGTACAAATAGACGCTATAACAGGGAGATCCTCAAGGACTGAGATTCTACTGAGCTGCCTTTGGACTGCCTCGTTGAGCTTTTTTAACAACAAGCACAGTAAAACATTATGACCTGATATTTCATAAACAACGCTACGATACCGATGAAGTAAAGCAAATCAAAATGGAAATGATCAGAGGTTAACCTGGCCATTTACGTAGTTTGTGAAGACCAGCCCGGAACGGGAGACGCAAACAAACTACATTTAAACTATGGAAATAAGAGCGACGCAGAGCATAAAAAGTTCCGACACTTTAGCTTCAAGCACAATTTGTGAATGAAATACAAAGAAATAGGAAGATAAGACGATCACATTTCATTCCCATTGATCTATACTGAGACAGAGATTGATGGAGTTACAGTAGATCTGTCATAAAACACTCAAGAAGGAAAATTAAACTTCACAGCCACTTGGATACAATGAATAAATATATCAACATATTGTAATCTACCACTGACCAAATGACTCTAAAGCTAATTTTACTGGGCTCTTGAGTGTGAAATGAAATGCATATTAAGTTCACAGCAAGGAAAAGGCTAGTCAAAAGAAGAAGAGCTACAAGGGACAGAAAGGACAGAAAGAAGGGGGAAAGAAAGAAAAATATATGACAGCAAAGTTTCATTTACCACGTTCTAGCTTCTTATCTTTGAACCGCGAGAGCAGCAAATTGATGCGTAGGAAGGACATAGGCATGAGGAGTAAAGAGTTGAAACGGGCAAAGTGAACAAGATGTAGGGAAGAGAAAAACAAAGAGACGGAGTGAGTCCAGAATTCTCATGACTGTCAGCGAATGACAAACATTTTCATACATTAACAGTCAAAATGCTGCGACTAACACACATGTGTCGTGACTCCTTGACTCTGGACACATGAAAAGATATCTGTACAAGGCATACACATACAGGCACACACAAATGCACAGTATAAAGACTGACACTAAGAAAATATTATATTATATCACAAAACAAAGGAGGAGAACAAAGATGCAGATGTTTGTATGCATTGCATGTTGAGTTTGTGAGTGACCATTAAAAGCTGTCGAGCATACTCACTGGTGCCTTCTTCTGAAACCATCCCAAGTCCCTCAGCCTTGTTCTGTCTCTCGAAAGCGTTCAAGTCCAAAACACTGTTAACAGCAAACATTTAATCAGCTTAAAAAGTACAAAAACTTGTATATCCCCTCCAACGGCAAGCAGAAGTATAAAAGCGATGTAACCATAAATGTATTACAGACCTGCAGGTCTGCATCAGAGACTGAATGCTAAGGAAGAACCCCACATCCTTTTTATCCTTCAGATAGTCCAGCATCCTCTGCACACAGATGACAAGAGCATGATGACAACAACGCTCTAATGAAGATGTCAAGATGTAGATAGGCAGTAAAATAAATTTTGTTTCTTAAATCTTTTTAGCCTGTAGACATAAATATATATCATACTCATGAAGGCTCTTTACCTGCTGTACATCACTGTTGCCTCCATTGAGGATGGAGATTCCCAGTTTGAGTGTAGAAGAAACCATGGCTCCAGGTTCACCTGAAACAAGCAGATACCGCTCGTACAACAACTTGACCCAACCATGAATAGCGAAGCTGGATTCTCTTTGCCAAGATAACAACAGATAAAATGGTAGGAAAGGTTGCCTACAGTTTTTTTATAGAAGGGGAGTCGAATAAGTCTGAGGGAGAATGAGCTGTGCTGCCTCTACAACATAAAATGAAGTGGGTGCGATGGGTTTTCCATGACGGACAGCAGTTTGAGCTCTTATCCCCCAAAATTTACACTTCCTACTCCCACTACTTTTTTATAAACAGGTTCATCTAACACAGCTAACGCTTGGTTCATAATTTTCAGACAAGTGTTTGTGTGTGTGTAAGAGTGTGCTACTATGTGTCTGTGTGCAGATCTAATGTGCAGCAGCTACCTTTACAGGCGCTGATCATTTGCAGCACCATCTCTGCAGCACCACGGTTGTGCAGACGGGACTGCTGGTACAAGAGCCTCTGTTTCTCCATCTCCTTTTCCTGTGCAGCAGAGTAGCAAGAAAACAGCTGTAACCCTGTCAACAGAGACTGCACTGCCCCCCGCACTTACACACACACACATGTACAGGCACACATACACTAAAAACACACACATCCTTATAATCGTATTCTAATTATAATTTGCTATTGTATTTGCTATACCATTGGTCCTGATGTCATCCAGAGTTGCTGGTTAATAATTCGTGTTATATGCAAGTAACACAACTTTTTACACTTTCATTTATTTTATCACCTATGAAACAGCTTCTCTTAATCTTTCTTTGTGTTAAGCTCAGTTAAGTGAGCAGATTCTCGCTGTTTCCATCAGATAGTGGCCAATTTGTTTCAGTAAATGCTAAGCTAAACTATTCTTTTCAAGTGTTGAATGAACTTGTAAAAAAAAAAAACAAGCTGTTTTAGTGTTAATACTCGGGACTCTTAAAGACACATACAATTCTCTTCCAATGTATTAGTGTTGGAGACAGTTATTCCAGTTTATATCTAACACAGGTGCAAACATTCAATTGCAGCAATCATTTCATCCCAGATTGTAACACACACTTCACATATTCTTCTTAGGAAGCAACATCAGTTGCTGGA